GGGTAACTAAAAATATTTTTTATCTAGCAAAATCCCACAAAGAAATTTGAGCCTCAAGGTTGATCCCTATCATTAGAATGATGACTGATGAGGTATTGACTAGAAGACACTCGGTGGAAAGAAACTTTGAAATTAAACAAACCTGAATTCGAATCGTACTCTCTCACTTCTTAGCTGCATGTCCTTGGGAAAGTTACTTCATCTTTCTGAGGCCCATATATGTAAAACCTAGGGAATACTCACTCACTGCCTTACTAAATAAGATGAAGCATGTAAAAGTACATAGTATAGTGTCTGGCACATAGTGGGAGTTTGGTAACAGGTAGCTGTTATGCCAAACTTCTTCCAGAGGATTTCTAAACAATACCAGCAAGAGTGAACTGTTAGCCCTTCACACGAATCAGAAACTAGAAATTTTGAATTTAAGCTTTAGGGAAGAGTCATTCGATAAATAACTGATATTTTTTCCATTTTCAGATGCAAGCACTATAGAAGCAAATGAGGATATGGAAATTGCTTACCCCATAACTTGTGGGGAGAGCAAAGCCATCCTCCTCTGGAAGAAGTTTGTATGTCCAGGAATAAATGTGAAGTGTGTCAAGGTAATTGTCATTTCTTTGCTGTAGCCTCCTTGTTTTCATAGCGCGTGGTTTTTCGGTGCCTCCTTTTTTTCTTCCAACATATCAATGTTTTTGGATTTTTGCGGCTGTTGTTCTGTTGTGTCACAGTAGAAAAAATAAGGACTTTGGAGTGAAATTTACCTGTATTTAAGTCTCACTAGAATATAGGCTATACAAGAGCAGGCAATTTGTCTGTTTTGTTCACCTAATGTATCCCTCCCCGATACATAGAATGATGCTTGGCATATAGTAGGTGATCAATAAATATTTGTTCGATGAATGAATGGATGCATGGAGTCCTGTCTCTATCACTGACTGGCTGGGTGATCTTGAGCAAGTTATTTAATATTTCAGAACCTCGTATGTTAAAATAGGAGTAATCACATATATACACACTGTAAGGCTGTTAGATTAAATGAGATAATATACATAAAATGCTTTTCACTGGTATGCATTGTGGTAGAGTTTATTAAAAATTATTATTGGTAAAAAGAAATAAATTTTGTGAGAGGATAATGTGGAAATAATTGCTCATTCTGGCCCTGTTGGTAGCAACAACTATATTCAGAGATAATAGTCACCATAGTGGTATCATCCTAGATTAATAGGATTACAGAGTTTTGAGGCTCTGCAGTGCTACTGGTTTCTACCATACTTGTTTTTTCCACCACATCTTGGATCTTCTCGTTAAGGCTGGATAGATTACTTCAGTTTATTTGAACAGCATTTGCAACACTAGACCCAACCACCTGATTCCAGGCATAAATGGATTTTAGATACTAATCAATAATCAGAGATGAATATCTCTGATCCTCCTCATGTGTTCTGGGGTTTTTTTTTGTTTTTTTTTTTTTTTACCAGGAAAGGGTACTGTGCTCAGAGAAGGATCATCTCTGTCACAGTAAGACAGGAGGTTAGATAATACAAGACTATGATTTAGGATATCATCAGGGTATTTTTTTGAACATAACAGAGTTATCATTTCATTATTTTCTCTCTTGGCCTACCTGAGTTTACATTGGACTATTTTGGACTTTTCTCTTTAGTTTAATGATCAGTTGATCAGTCCCAAGCATTTTGTTCATCTGGCTGGCAAATCTACTCTAAAGGACTGGAAGAGAGCTATTCGTCTGGGTGGAATCATGCTCAGGTAATCTCTAATGTCAGGCACATACCTTTCAGCAAACTTTGAGGCATCGAATCATGGTGGACTCCAGTCTTTTCTCTTTAAGTTGACATTTTTATTCTGTCACAAGGATCAGTTTGAGTAATCCATGCATTATTTGACCTTTACCAACTTTTTCTTAAAATCCTTGGTAGAGAAGAAAGATTGAATTGAATTAACTCTTCCCAGAATCTAGGGCAAATTTTTCTGATGTCAGGATGTTGGGTAGGATCCTCTCTGGTCAGAGAAGTTCAGGAATAGATGACAGTCCTGCTTGAGATCACTAAGCAGAAGCAGGGCTCAGCCTGGTGCTGAGGAAGCATAACAACTGTGGAGAAGGGTAAGCTGACTGACAAATCCTGAGATAATCTGGTAAAGTAGAGGGTGCTATTGATAAATAACAATTCGGCACAGTGAATGTAATCCTTACCATCGCACAGAAATAAACTTCAGAATGTATTATATATCCCACTCCCATCCCTTTTTTTCCAGTATGTTTACCATTTTAGTTTTTCCCTTATGAAGATTAATATTAGTATTCCTTGAGCACTTACCTACTGAGAGAAAATTTTAAAATGTGATCAAGAATTAAAAGTTCCCCCACAGAACATATATCAAGGGCCTTAAAAACATCTTACCTTTTGTGTTGTCTTAATTCTTTTTAAGTAATCTATCCTAAGAAAAATCTCTAATGTTTATGGAGATTTAAGCATATGGATGCTCATTGCAACATTATTTATTCTGGTGAAAATTACAGTCTGCTTTATAGTCGAGAGACTTCTAAAGGAATTATGGCTTGTCTAAATATATATGAGTATATACTATGGAATATTTGCAGATATTAAAATATTTCTGAAGAGATTTTACAGGGAAAAATGCTTATGATGTAACGTGAAGAAAGAGAGCAAATATAAAACTGAGTAGATAGTGTGATTTTAGCAGTGTTAAAACACACATATGTAGGTAAAATTTAGTAGAAGAAAATTCACTAAAATGTTGACATTACCTGTGTGTTATAGGATTTTTTTTTT